TTTCTTCTTTTTTGGTGGATTTTTTAATAGGTCTGTCTAAAACATATCTGATATTAAAAAAAAAAAAACATCCCAGCAGGTTAAATTTTTTAAATGAAGTCTAACCACAGTCAAAGCAGACAGCAACAATGCCTAGCAGCACTGATTACAGGTAGTGCTTTCAGCTCTGCTTTTAACAGAGCATATAATTCTACTTTTTTTGGGCATGATTTCCATTGAAAAGAGTGTTGCATTTTTATATATAAATCTGTGTCAGAATGGCATTCACACTTACACATATGGTGCTTGTCCATATGGGCAAATTGCAGGTAGGAAGCTGTGCTGCAAGATAGCAGCATGCTCATTGGTTCTAATTAATTCCTTGATTACATGCTCTTGTGGGCACCAGGGGTGATTTATTTTGCTTCACTCTTAAAGGCAGGAGAGGTTTGAACACAATGATTTGGGTGAAAATATATATATATAACATTTGGAGCTGATTTAATGCCCATTTTTTGTCAACAGTCCCTTCTCTCTTTCTCAGTCCCCCACGTCCTGCTGCTGGTGCTGGTTCCAGTAAATCAATGCAACTCACAAAGGTGGCCAAGAAAAGCAAGTTTGTTTAATTTTTTTTCTTTGCAGGGTTAGCATGTTGAACCAAATTCCAAGGGGACACTGAGGGATAAATGTTCAGGGGTGAGATTTGTCCCTGACTCTGATCAACCGTATAGAAGTAATTCTTGGGATTTTTGTAAGCCTGCATCTTAGAAACTGAGCATCATGGGAATCAGCTGTGGATTACTAAAATCAAAAACAACTTTTTGACGGGCAAAACACACTTAGAGTTTGTCAGTCCCTAATCACATTGACAGATTCCTAAGCTGGCAGGACAAATGCCCAGCAGACTTCACGGAGAAGGCAGATCCAAAGTGCTGCTTCTCCAACACGGATTGAATCAACATGAATCAACACCTTGATTCATTCCTTTCAAAACCAGAATAGCTGGAAAAAGCAGGGGCCCTGACAATGCTCTTCTGACCATTGAATTCTTCTTCCAAGACAGAAAAGATGTATTCTATTCCCATCCTCAACAACAAGCCAGAGCCCAATAAGGATATTACAATCACAGCCTCAGCAAAAGGAAAAAACCCTTTATTTTCTTACTATTAGTGGTAGAAGAAGGCAGATCCAAAGTGCTGCTTCTCCAGCACGGATTGAATCAACATGAATCAATGCCTTGATTCATTCCTTTTCCAGGTGCATTTTCACATCCACATATCATCTTGGCACACAGACTTAAATATTTACTTGCTTATGTTTGCACTGTGTCAGTTTCTCATTGTCACTGTGCTTCCATGACCAGGATAGCGTGAATTTCCGTGGATCTCTGCAAAACCCCTGGGACCAAGGTCCAGATTTTGCCTCTGTGTGACGCACTCTGAAGCCAGCTCAGAACCTTACACTTTTTTCCCCAGCGAATGCAAGGATAACACAGTCCTGGATAGGAAACAGCCCCAAAATCACCTTCCCCTTGCTGGAGTCACTTGTGCCAAGTAGCAAAGTGCCTGATTAGGCAGGATTTCCAGGGATCTGACTGTCCTCAGCTGCACCCTGGCACTGCTGGCTCCTGGAGCAGGGAGAGGCAGGGCAGGGAATGTGCTCCGTGCACCCTGTGCAGTCCTTGCTCCTGGTCCCATTTACATTTTCCCATGTAATATCACAAAAAAAGGAATGAAAATGGTCGTCAGGATGAGAGGAATAATGGATTTGTCTTTCCAAACAAGCTGTGGGTCTGCTGGTAGATAAAACTAGCACTGGGAGATAAAAGAAACAATGGGAAGGATTCCACTGATTGATGAAATGGAAAAAGATATTTGCTTTTACAAATAAACTTTAGGGCTGCTGATAAACGAAATTAGACAGTGAAAGATGAAAGAAACAATGGGGAAGTATCCCTAAAAATGTTATTCTGCTTTGCAATGGGATCATTTCTCTGACAATGATGTTTTTAGGGCATTTGCACAACCATATTTTGATGATGTACATCTCTGGAAACATATCTTGGGTGCTTCCCATCCAACCTGGACATTCTGGTATTAAAAACAGGCAGATGTGCTTTTAGTTCAGATTAAAGCAGATTGGAATGGCTGTTCACCTTGAAAACAGTGAAGGGTACCCCAGTCCTGTAGGAGGGAATGTGATTATGAATCATCATAAGTAGGAGAGTAGGTGCTGTGTTTTGGGTTAGTGTTTACCCAGTTCTGACCTTTCTGAGAGTTCTCTGAGATGTCAGGTGAGAAAAAGAGGGAGGTTGGGGTTTGTTTGTATGTTCCTGACAATCAATAAGTGTTCAAAGCAATGATGTTCAACTGCGCTGGAAGTGCATTTCTGCAGAGGTGGAAAAAGTTGGTGATGTCAGTGGGTCTGCACTGGAGAACAGGAGAACACTAGCAGCAATATATTTGAAAATACTTCCCTTTGGGTGCAAAGGATTTCTACCACAAGTGCTGATTACTGAAATTAATTTCCCCTACACAGCACATATGCTGCAAGATTTCACATGTCTTTTCTGCTTTTTCCCTAATGGTTTTCTGTGAAAGCAATGGAACAATGTAGTTGTGTGATGCTTTCACATCTTCCTCTTTTCTGCAGTAAATGTTTTTAGCAGAATTTAGCCATCCTTTCTTATTAAATCTTAGCTTCTCTTCTGCAATGCTGCTACCTATTTAAAGCTGTTTGTGGAGCACACAGAGGTGAAATGCTGAGGCCTCATCAGGTGCACAAGAAACCTTATTTCTGTGGGGATTTTGCTGTGAATTGGTGGGCTTATATTATTCTCTGCAGTGCTCAAAAAAGCACTGTCTTCTCTTCTGTGACTTCAGTATGAACGAGTCCTTTAACTTTGTTAACATCCTAAAGATGCATAACACCTCTTCCCTTGAGCTGATGGATTTCATGAATCAAGGATATGATATGTGCTTAGGGAAGCTTTAAGTGATGGAAAAATTACCACTTCTGCCTCTGATCAAAGCAGAGCAAAGCTCTTGACTGCTCCTCTCTCTGTTACTTCAGTCTCCTTGCAATCAGGGAAATCTCCGGAGGAGAAGGTACCAAGAATTGTAATACCTAGGAAAAGAGAAGGAGCCCTGCGTGAGAATAACACCCCTGAGCTCAGCTGTCTCTCTGAAATTTAGGCAGCTTTAGCTGGTCCAGGCTCTTCTGTGTGTGATAAGGGGTTGTGATATTTCCATACTACAGTCTGGCAGCTGATGAGCTCAGTTACTTTCCCTGGGACTGCTCATCCAAGAGCAGGGTTAAGTCCTGAGGAAGAAATGCAGACACAAACGTAACAGGCTGGAGTTTCCTTCTAGCTGTAATATGCTAATGGCAGAAATCTGTGTTTAAAAAAGGCTTGAATTTAAAATGAAAGTGAGGTGATGAACTGTACAGCTGCAGCAGGGTTGGCAGTAGCTCTGCAATGATAAGGATTCATGGTTAGACTAGCAGGAGAAAGTTTATTCCATCTGACTCACAGAGAGGCAGTCCCTGCCTGGGAGCTGGAGCTGTAGGGAAGCTCTGTGTGGCTGGCTCTGTTAATGACACTTTCTTCTCCTCTGAGCACCATGGAAACTCTTCTACGTAAGCACACGGTTCTGCTGTCATCTGCATTTGCAAACATGCTGGTGGGAAATGCACGGATGGAGCACGAATGTACAGGAATTAGATCACAGCCCAAAACACAAAACCCAGGCACTCAAAACCCTGCAATGGAGAAAGAGCCAGTCTGACTCAATAAGAGACTCCTCTCAGCCATTTCATGTACAATGATTTTCTCTCTACAGAAATGTTATAACCTGTATTTGATTTCTCTACAGAGTACCATCGTTTTAATTATGTCAAAATAAAAGCCTGATTTGTAATTCAACCCAGTCCATCTAATCTATCTAATTCAAGGAACCTGTACTGAAGAAAAACTGGAGCAATGTAGCAGCAAATCGTTTCTGATAAAAAGGATGCATTTCATTTAAATCAAAATAATTTAAACCAGCAAACCAGAAGTCTGCATTTAAATAAATTATTTGACTCTTGATTTGTATTTCCACTTTTTTTTCTCCTTGAAGAATACTCTGTTTTCATTGGTGTGCAACCGTCTTGCTGTGATTATTACAGCTGAATAAAACCCCTTACACTGTAACTACTTGCACCATACCAGGACTTATTTATTTTGCAGGAGGGTGTGCAGTATCTGTACAAATCTATATCACTTAGCAAGCATTTACTCCCTCGGGCTCTTACTTACTAAGTGGTTTGTTTTTCTGCCCAGAATTTGCTCTGGACTGGCTTGGGTTGGTGATGGCTCTGCCTTTCCAGGCTTCAAAGCAGGGATTGTGTGCAGGGATTGTTTGCACCTCTCCCCTTGGGGCCTTGGGTGAGCAGTGGGTGCCTCCTGGGGAAGGCAGGACACAGTGCTGGGGAGGCAAGTGCTGTTCCACTTCCACAGGGCTGGTGGATGCTCTCTGGTGACAACACGGCCGTCCACATTCGGCCCTGCTGCCACATCCTACTCCCTGTCCAGGTGCTCAGCCATGACATCCATCTCGTGCAGCCCAAGCAATCCTCCTTAAATTTTCTTTGGAAAATCCATTCCTTGATGGATTACATCCTGCTGGGCCTGAAATGGTGGCACAGGCATTGTGTTTAATTTCAAACACAGCTGTATGCAACTACTCCCAAAGCACCATCAGGGCTTCGCTCAGCTGCATTTTAACCTCCAAAGCCCCCAGCACCGCCTGACACTTACATCCAACAGGCAGGGTCCTTCTGTGTGACCCTCCTGGCTGGAGGAGCACCCAGAGCATCCCGAGGGATGGAGCCCATGGGGGTGACGAGGGCGCGGGCGCCGCATCCTGGCCAAGGCGCACGCCCCGTGAGGAAGCCGTGGGCGGTGTGAGGTGACTTATGAGGCTGAGCAGCCTCCCAGCACTACAACTTCCCCCTGCACCCTGCCAGGGAGCGTTTCAGCAGCCTGGGACAGCAGCCAGGCCCCCATGGCCTGGCACTGAGCCCCTGCATCCTCCCTGCTCAGGGCTGGCCTCGGCGCTGCTCAGCCAGGGAAACGCCAGGTACCAGGGGAGGGAAATGCTGGGCTTGTGCTCGGGGTTTTTGGTGGTGGCAGCAGGCAGGAAGGAGAGGGACACAGAGGAGGGTGCTGTGACTCCTCAGGCTCCATTTCCCTAACCTTATTCCCCTCTCCTCCCAGCCCAGGAGCTGCAGGAAGATGATGTGCCTGCCCGCCTCCCCACCGGCGCTGAGGATGTGCCTGGGGCTCGGGCTCTTGGTGCTGCTCTGCCTTGGGATAGGTAAGCAGGAGCCAGGATGGGAGTGTGGGAAGGGGCTGGCAACCAGCAGCAGCACCCATGGGATGGTCAACAGGGGATGGTGGCCCTCAGGACACTCCTGGTGCCTGCTGCCAGGGCTGAGCCCAGGGTTTGGGACAGCTGGCACTTCACTGAGGAGCCCTCAGCTCTCAGCTTCCCAGGCCACTGCATCAGGCTGCTGGCTCCCAGACAGGCATGGTGCTCTCCCATCCCAGCCAGGGTGAGAGACATGAGGGTGAGAGAAATGAGGGTGTTTTTGGTCAGCTGATGTCTGTGGGGAGCACATGGCACAGCTCTTGGGCTTCGGTTTCGGTGGCAGCGTGGTTTCCCCAGCTTTTTGGGGGTTCAGAGTGGGTGCATGGTGGAAAAGATTGGCAAAGGTGGCAGCTCGGGGTGCTCTGCACCTCCTGGGCAGCTCAGCACAGAGCAGAGTTCTTTCTCCAGCAGCACAAATCCCCACTGAAGTCCTGCCTGGGCTGTCCCCTGTCCTTTTCTGAGGACTTGCCATAAATCTCACACAGATCGCTCCTCGCCTCAACAGGCTTGGGATGAGTCTTCTCAGATGTGTGAAATGTTAACCTGGAAACCACACAAAATTCACTACTGAGTTGGAGTTCGTTGTGGATGCAAAATAAGTTGTGCTTCTTGGCATTTTAGTTTTTCATTGCTGCTCCAGAGCAAACCTGGGCAGAACTGGGGCTTTTGTTAAAAATCAAGTGATGAAAAATGAGGAGCTTTTCATGCTCCTGTTGAGAAACAGGAGGTATTTGATGCCAGGCTTCATTTTGAGTTTCAGCCTCAGAATTTTAAGATAAAACTTGGAAAATTTATCAGGGAGTGAATTGCAGAGCTCACTTGTAAATGACCTCAAATGTTGCTCTGGGATCTCTGCTCTTCTGTCTTCCCCTCACTCCTTCCCCTGCCTCTGTGTTTGCAAAGCATCTGCCAAGCACAAATATATTTTGCTTGTATTTGCATCAGGCAGACAATCTATCATGAGATAGAGAGAACTGTTTCTCTCACAGTAATTTAAGAGCTTGTGGTATGTTAATAATGTAATTACAATAATATGGTAATTTGCCAGTCATGTAATTTCTCTGAAAATTATTCTGGTTAAAGGATGTATAAAGGATGCTAAAGGATGTATAGTTTGATGCATGCTAATATCCACTACTAGAAATAGGAGTTTGATAAGAAAACTAAGTGTTCCTCTAGTTTTACTTTTGGGGCACAATTTTTAGATGCTTTTCAAGCAACAACTCAGTGGAAGTCGTGGTGCCTCAGGAGCAGTGCTTGGCAGACTGATAATGTGGCTGATGCTCATATTTTCCTCTCTGTATGCACTCACACACACTCTGAACCCTTTCTGTCCAAAGATCAGCATTCCTACCTCAGTGCTCCTGGAAAATACATGGAGAGTACCCACTGAGGACTGGGTTTTAAAGCTGTGCTGGTGCTTGTGGGTGATGCCCTCTCCAGGCTGCCCACAGGGACCACAAGGACCCAGTCCTGACCTTGTTGTGGCAAAACAGTGGAGCCCTGGGTGTCTGCCATCAGCCTGGCAGTGACTTTCCACACAGTTCTGAGTGAGTCACCACGTTTACAGGACGTTTTACAGGAAATTACACATTTTACAGGACTGACCCCGCATGGGACTGCTCATGACCGCATCAAGGCACAGTCAGGGCTTGAGCCAGAGCCTGTGTCCTTGGTTTGGCCCAGGTGTGCTGATGCTGGCAAACCTCCCTGATGTAGCAAAAGGTTCAGGCAGCACTCTAGGATGGAAACATGTGCCCTCTGTAAAGCCCATGTGAGTGAAATAGTAACAGAGGGGATGCCAGGCTGAATTTTCATCTCATAGCAGTGGAAAGCAATAATGGGGGGCTTAATTAAAAGGGATTTGAAGGTTGTCTTTCATTGGAAAGGTTGAAGGTTGATTCATAAGAATTTCGTGTATGTGAAGCTATGTAGATCCATTTATTTTCTTTTGAATTGAATTTTGCTACTCTGATATTCACCTGAGGTGCCCCACTGAAATGTCGGTGTAATTTAGAGCTGCTTCTGGGATGTCATCTGCTGCTGAAGATGTCCATGAACAACACCCCCTTGTCTCAGCAGAAAATGGCAAAACAGCCTTGGTTACAGCATAAACACTTTTATTTATTATCTGAATGCACTGCTGGTATCCCCACGGGCTTGGTTTTGTCCTGCCATTGCACCTTCACACCTACATACAAATTTTAGGATGTTTTCAGTCCCAGTTTGTTATCCTAGAAAAATACAGCTTGAAGTCCCTCAGTGTGACCTTTCCCTGCCCTGTGTGCAAACACAGCACAGGCACTGACTTCAGGGACCCAGCAAGCCCAGCTTTGTGTCCATGGAGTATTTTTAAACTTCCCTGGAGTCTTTTCTTCCAGCTGGGGACCACTTAGCTCTCGGTTTCTTCCCAGGGGTGAAATTTTTTGAGAAGTTTTGAAGAAAATTCCCTACAGCTTTTCTAAATTACTGGAGAGTTGGGAAGGGAGGGGGAATATCCACTTCTGTCAGGCAGCAGTGGCTCACAGTAACTCATTCCGGGAATCCCCTTCCCTGCTGTGACTCCCAGCAAAGAGCGGAGCTGGGCTGCACAAAGGGACAGGGCTGACAAAGATTCCCTGTCTGGTGGCCACCCTGAATATTGAAGTGTTTAGCAATGAGCTTTAGGTGCTTGGTGTCTGATTTCCGTGCCAGCTCTGCTATGGGCTGTGCTGGGGCAGATTTCACAGTGGGGATGGCAGAAATTTTTCTTTACCCACCGGATTTGCCCACTTGATCAGCGGATGCAAATTGAGTTTCTGACCTATTCCCCTTCATGCCTTCAGCTGTTGTTTTAATTTCTTTTTTCGGATGAGTTTCTGTCTCCTGTTCCAGACATATGGGAAAAAAAACTCTTTCGAAACCCAGGGCAGCGGATCTAAGGAACTCCTCTTTCTGTCTGTCAGTCTGTCCAGAGTGAAACCTGCTGTAAGGGCTTGTCTGGAGAAACAGAAACCCAGCCAAAGCCCACTGCTCTTTGCTTATAGGGACTGTTTTACTTCTTCTCTAAGTGCTTCTTAGATGAAAGAATTTTTTAGGGAAAAAAACCACAGAAAATTAAACTTAGACAAGCTACATTTTTACACACAAAATAGAACTAAAAGCATAAATGCCCAGTTTGCAAGGCTATGGGTCAAATGTTCCTTTCACCCACATCATTTCCTTTTTCCAGTGAGATCGGAATGAACCCAGATAGCTGCAGTGACCTCGTGTTGCCCTGACTGCAGCAGCTTTTTTGCATTTCTTGGATCACTGAGACATTTGTATCCTTGTTGCCGTGTGCATCTTGGGCATTCCTGCGTTTAAACATGCAAAGTTTGGAGTGGACACTTTTGTTAATTGTGGTAGATTACCAGCAGAATATGCCACCCTTATGCCCTCTCACCTTTCCTGCTCATCACTGCCTTGATTCTGAGTTCCAAGTGTGGTTTAATGGGGGTAATTAATCTGATATAAATGACTGATGCTATCCCTCTGCCTCTCTTGTGGTTAGCTTTTTTCAGAGCCAGTTTGCTTTTACACCTGTGCTGTGCACCCTGAAAGGGAATGGATGCAAACAGGAGTCACAACTGAGGGACACAAACAGGTCATTGCCACCAGGAGATGCAACCCTGCTCCTCTCTGGTTTGTGATCCTCCTCTTCTTTGCACGTGTCTGATCCTTGGATTATCTACTGCACCCTCCAGCTTAGCAGAACGTTTCCTTTTTTCTCTTTTTTTAGACTGGTGTATTGAACCAGACTCTGGAGAGCCCTGTAAGGGGGAACAGGAACATGTGGGATGGAAGGGAAAGGGACCCAGATCCCCACTGCTTGCATGGGGAAGGCATGAGATCATTATGACTTTGCTGTCTGGCTGCATCCCAAGGTCATGCCAGGCCAGGGGAGAATTTCCACATTGAGAGAAATTCTCACATAATTACAGAGTTTGTGTAGGAAAGGATCTTAAATCTTAATTTGTTTTGAGCTCTCTGCCATGGACACTTCCACTAGAGCAGGTAGCTCAGAGCCCTACCCAAACTGCCCTTGAACACCTTCAGGGCTGGGGCATCCACAACTTCCCTGGGCAACCTGAACCAGCACCTCACCCCCTCACAATAAATCCTTTCTTCCTAATATCTGATCTAAACCTTCCCTCCTTCAGCTTGAGGCCATTCTCCCTTGTCCTGTTGCTACATGTCCTTGTGAAAAGTCCCTCTCCAGCCTTCTTTAAGGCTCCTTTTAAGCACTGGAAAGCCTCTAAGGTCTCCCTGGAACCTTCTCTTCTCCAGGATGAAGGTTTCTCCTTCCCTTTAAGCATGTGTTTCCCAGTATAAATGCTGTGCTTGTGTGGATGTGGTATCCTCTATAGGGTGGCAAGGCAGGTGTGCTGGATGCAGTGAAGTCTGTTCACTTGGCACAAGGAGGTCAGTTTTGTTTTGAAATAGATTAACTTTATGTTTAATTGTAGCTATTCCGTCCCCTTTGGAGGGGCACCACCATTGGGAGTCTCAGGAGCTCATTTGAGAATATGTAAATCTTTCCCAACTCGGAAATGCCATGGGCTTTGCTTCTGCTTTTTCACTGTTATGCTTTTAAAATATCATTGGTCCCAGGGGACTGCCTGACTGAAAAGAAAGTGCTGACTGATGGCTAATGGTGGCATTTCTACCTACCCTGAGCTAAAAGGACATCCACTTTTTGATGAGCTCCAGTTCCTATCTATCACATAAAAAATTGTTAGAAAAGATGATTGAAGGAAGTCTCTGCTCACTGCTGCTCTTGCCTTAGCAGGCACCCTCTGGTGTAGTCCTAAGTGCCCTGCAGACAGGGATTTGGTCCATGTGGAAGTGTCCCCTTCTGCAGACAGGGATTTGGTCCCTGTGGAAGTGCTCCAGAGAGAGCAGAGCTCTGTCAGACACCGGTTCCT